GGAGCTCGCCTCTTACGTTTAAAAAAGCAATAAAACTGCCACTGAAGAATACGAGAGATGCTTACGGCGCATCTATAGTTGTATAAGTCAAAATTGAAATCCAAGCAAAAATACGAGAGATGCTTACGGCGCATCTATAGTTGTATAAGTCAAAATTGAATTCCAAGCAAAAATTCTTTTGCAAATACAAAGTTTGAAGTGCCCATTTGCATAAATTGTAAAAAAATACTGAAATTTATTAAAAATACAATTTTAAATTATTTTGGCAAACGGTATAAAAATAATTCAAAAATCCAATAAAATTGTAAAATTTTTTTAAATGATTTCCAAAATTAATAAATAGGATTTTCAAAATAAAATTTCTGCAATTAAAATATCTAATACGTCATTTTGCCTTTAACTGTGATTAAAAGCATTTAAGCATTTATGCCTTCGAGAAATGGAAATACGCAAAATCCTATAAGTGTTAATTAATTATTCGTAAATATATTTAAATATATTAAATATCGTGATAGAAGCGTATATTAATTTTTTTTTACTTATCCCTATTAATGGAGATTGAGGCAATAGTTGTGGATATATAATTGAATGAATATTCATATCTATGCAGTTTTCAATTTTTCAAATTTTATTACTAATATTTTTTTTCGAATTTAATTATTTTGAATATTCAAAAATCTAATCGTTTTTAATATTAGTAAAAATTTAATATTAATAAAAATTTAATATTAATATTTTAATATTAATAAAAATTTGTTAGGTCGGATCAATTGGTTGTGGGAGATTTATTGGTCTTTTTTCAATAACTTTTTTTCAAATATGGCACCCATCTCAGTGTTTTGAATATTTTTTACTCGGTGATTTCAAGCTTGTGTATTGTTGCAAGTAATAAAACTTATTATATTAAGTGATTTCGATTCTTTTAATGATTCTTTTCGCCAAGAAGGAATTGCGATGTTTCCTTACTCTAATACTTTTATCAGTTCGCAGTTGATAACAATAATTTATGTAAAATCTCTAGCATAAAATCGCTATATAAGGCACGATATAAGAAATGTAGTAATAGCCCTTTGAAATTTATATTTTCATAGGGAACATTGAATCGTGCTAAATCAATAACCGCATACAGGTTCATTTACTTGAAGTAAATTAAGTAAACGAATTAATACGGTTAATATTTTTTCGCTTTTCACCACAATTGTTGGTTTGACTGGGTCAATGTTAAGCATTAAATGCTAAGGTTAAATATTGTTAAATGCTAAGGTAGATGTTAAACACGGATCATGCGAGAACTGAAACGCGATTCATTGAGTTTGAGCAATAAACCAGTCTCATGTCGTCTTTCCCATTTATCCAATAATCTAATAATTAGCTCAATAGAATGAGCCCAATGAAATGGCAAAGGTTGATTATCACACCATACTCTTTTTTTTTTTTACATTGATTCCATATCATTTTGCCGATAAGTTCAACTTTCTGCCCATATTCTCTCGAAATAGGCTCGAATAGAAATTTTCTGAACATTCAGCCTATTATTCTATTAATATTCGCCTGCTATGGCCCTCTAATTCACATAGGCAAATTCTGAGATAAAATGAAATAATTTAAAAAACTAATTCACCTAATTTATACCATGAAAGTCTCGTACAATTCCTATGCAGTAGTCGGGAGACAACTGGTTTTTGGAATAAAAATACTGTATGAATACTAAGTGACACTAAGTGATAAACACTAAATGATCGAGGAAAAGGCAAATTCTGAGATAAAATGAAATAATTTAAAAAATGATGATTAATAATAATAATTAAATAATAATTTAAACTGAATCACGTAATTTCTACCATTTTATATATATTTTTTTTTGTAGTTTTAACGAACGATATTGAAATTGTAGACGTGAGTGATAACTAAATCGAGTAGCAGCTCTATATTGTCTTCGCAATTTTTTTTTGTTTGAATCTGGAATTTAGGGGAAAATAGTCCTAATAAACGCTTCTGGAACTAGGTAAACACTCGAGCGTATGCACTTGTTCGGCCACAAATCATCCATGATTTATTGGCCTGACGAAACGAAAAAGTGTGCTGAAAACAATGAAAGCAACTCGGCTTGTCGACTCCATATTTCAATTTTTCTGCATAAATGGTCTTAAGGTTGTTAATACAAAAACTAAAAAATCATTACCATTATTTCTCTCATAACATTCAACGTTTGATTTGATTGAATTCAATGAATAGTAGGAAAACTTCGGCAGATGGTCGGTCAAGATAAGGATAAAATGTGGATAAAATCATAGGGTAATTGCCATTCAAATAAGATTCGAACAAAAGGGGGTGATTCCTTAGCTCGACGAAACATATCATTTAATCGCCGCATTGTTATTGGAAACTTATAGATTCACAAATAGATTGGTGAAAATTTCATCTTTTCAATACCTTCGGACCATTTAAACTTTACATCTTTAATCATTTAGAAGGATACGAATTTTTTCTCTATATTTCTTCTTTGTTTAATTTTAATGTTTATTTATATTTATTCGATATTGTGACGCACTATTTTTATTATATTCATCGTTGTATTACATTATATTTATTCTATTATATTCAATGTTTAGTTAAAACGTTAAATTTTTGTAAAAAACTTTTGATTTTCGCAAATAATACATCATAAAAGGTATTCAATATTATTTGAAACATAAAATATGAAAACATAAATTGCAATTTCGAGGCAAATTTACACGTAACGAGCAAATTCAAGACGAAACTAATAGTTCGAGTAAGTGAGAATGGATTATGAATTGGAGCTTGCTGCGCGAGTGAATGAGGAAGTGTTAAAAATTTGTGTTATACAGTCAGAACTTATTAAAGTTGTAAAAAAATTACGAGACTTGCAGTGCGGTTAATAAATATGGTGAGTGAAGTTGGATAGAGCTTAAATTCATGCTTTGCAGGAGTACTATGCTTCAACTTAATTGATGTTCGGAGGAATACAATTAGCTTTACATAGTCAAAAGTTTCAACTGGCTGGCAATGATTTTTTGCGAACATTATTACAAATTTTTGACAAGTAATGGCGAATGATACAGCGAGATTTGCCAATGATATACTGTAAAACAGCAGTGAAAAATATTATTGCAGGCCTTTTAAAAAGAATGAAGCAAAAACATAGGAGAGATCTTTAAGAGAGTCAATGTTTCGGGATTACGGGTACTGTAACAAGCTGATAATCACTTCCCACTGGACCGATCGACTCTAATCAATTCTCCATCATGCAAAAATATTGACTAATGAATTAACTTTCTTTGACGACAGGTTAAGAGAGAGAATTTTTATTTGATTCGTTATATTCTGATTTAGTTATTCTAATTTTGGAGAATTGAGGATAGAAGTATAAGTGTACACCCAGGCTCTGCTTTTAATGGCAAGCAGAGAGGCAAAAACGATCCTGGACCATGTGCCTGGACTATGCCATTTCACCATACTACTCTTCATCTGTTGAAAAACTGAGAAGGCGAAGGAAGAATTCCGAAGCCATGCACTGTTTGCATAGTTTATTCTCTTTAATTTATTCATTCTCTTCTTACTTCAATAGATTTAAAATTTTAAAAAATAACTGAACCATAATCAAATAAGCAATAACCATGTGATCATTTATCATCATTTTAAAGTCTTAGATTTCGTTTATCCTAAATACATTTCGAAACCATTATGACCACTTTGAAATTTCTCCAGTATTGACAATAAATAAGCCCAAAACCAAAACTTCCTTAACTCACCATATATCATTAGATATTCTGTTGAATTCGGGCAACAAAAAACCTAGCTGAACATTCTGGTGGATCTCAATGTTGACATAAACAAATATTTTGATTCCTCAAGCAAATTCAGTTGACTTGATGAAGGATGAAGCAGAAAATTTTGATTGAAATAAACATTAAATAAACTAAAATATTTATATTTATACTTTTAATTTTACTTTAAATATGAAGTAAATAAGCTCGCCTAATTTCGACAAATAAAAATTATACAAATTACGAAAAAAAAAACTCTAATTACCAGACAAGAAAAATGTGCAAAGGAATTTCGGACAATTCTCATAGTTCAGACTTCACCATTCAGCAATTTATTTACCGTCGAATAAAATATGCTATAAGGAATTCCTCATTAGCGAAAAGAAATATATCTAGCGATTGAATAAAGAAATAGGGAGGCTTTGAATAAGGATAGCCTTACAAATGCAACTCGCATAATGACCACTATTGACTACTGCAAAACCAAAGTAAATTATACGAAGCAACGTTCGCTGATGATCAGTCGTTGCATGTATGCAACAGTAGTGTTTCGCTCTCTTAAAAACGCTTTTCGGCAATATGAACTGATATCATAAAAATAATATCATCAACTGTTAAATTAATATACAAAAATATATAAATAAGAGCCATTGCATGTCGATTACAAGGTTTAGCGGTGTTTAGCCTAATGTAAAAAAATTGGAAAATTGAAAAAAACGTTTTAAAAAAATTATAATTAAACATAAGAGCAAAATATAATAATTTAATTTTCAATATTTATAAAAGCAATTATATTTCATTTATATTTTTTATTGCTTTTGCTTTCAATTATATTTTTTAGTTTTTCTAACGTTCTCTATTTTTCTAATAGTTTAGTTCTACTGTATTGCTTTCTAATAGTTTCAACGCTTCAATTATATTTTTCAAATTTTTTCAACTTTCTCACAGTATTAGTTGTAATTTTAAAAATTTTCTAACATCTTTTCCACGCCTTTAGTGATATTTTTTCAAATGCTTCTAACATTCTAAATAGTTTCTCTTGCATTCCTCATTTTTCTAATAGCTGCAATGTTTCAATTTTTCAAATTTTCTATAATTTTAGATTTTAGATTTTAAAAAATAGCTGAGCTATAACCTAATAAGCAATAAGCATGTGATTTTTCATCTTCATTGTGTACTTGGAATGCCACAGATTTCGTTTCGCTTTTAAATTCATTCGGAAACTTTCTTGAAAATTGCCCAGGATTGCTTTGTGACAATGCATAAGTCCAAAACGAAAACTCCTTCAACTCGGCACATCTCTGAATATTCTGCTGAATTCCGACAGCAAAAATCCAACTCGAACATCTTGCTCGATTTCGACATTGACTTTTGCATAAGCACACGCAGATTTTGATGTCTCACAACGACCAGTGACTTTTAGTGATGTATATGGACAAAGACGGTGGAAAAAGACTGGAAAATTATTTTCATTATTTCCAGTGTGCTATTACGGATGGC